AAAGCTCATAAATACATAAATGCCAATGATGTCACCAAAGCCAGGTGAGGTGAGTTCTCGCCATCATCATCACCACATGCGGCCGACTCTTAAAAAAGAAGTCACAAAGGCACAGACATTAACATATTTTGTGGCTGAGCTCACATTACTTGAGGAGAGAGATTGTCAAGAAGACCTAGGACCAGGCACCCAGTAGCAAGCGCCTAGCACCTCATCTCAATCTATTGGAATGAGCCTCTAGCTTGGTGACCTTCTCGTGGGCTAACCCTCAAATTCTGCCTCTACTCTCATGCGGGTAACCCTAGAGTCAATATATCTCATGCTTAACGGTTCTCTCACGGGTCGCCAAAGGCTTGGCCTATCACTGTTCTACTATCAAGGAGGTAGTCTATCTCCAGCTTAGCAGCTCTCTCATGGGTCGCCAAAATTTTGGTCTATCTCTGCTCTACTCTCAAGCAGGCAGCCTATCTCCAACTTAGCAGCTCTCTCGCAGGTCGCCAAAAGCTTGGTCTATCTCTACTCTACTCTCAAGTAGGCAGCATATCTTCAGCTTAGCAGTTCTCTCACGGGTCGCCAAAGGCTTAGCCTCTCTCTGCTCTGCTCTCAAGTAGGCAGCCTATATCTCCAACTAAGTGACTCTCTCGTAGGTCGTCAAAAACTTGGTCTACCTTTGCTCTGCTCTCAAGGAGACAGCCTAAACCTACAACTTAACGGCTCTCTCACGGGTCACAAAAGTTTGGTCTCAAAAGGTGTATCTTTCTCACAAGCAATCCTCAAACTCTGTATTTGCTCTCACGCAAACAAACTGCCTCTCTCTCCAAGCCCCATCCATCTGGCATAGCCACCTCATCGCGCGCAGCTTGCTCGACCAACATCTCGCTAGGCTCGCCCAACGGCCCTCCTACGCGCCTAGCTAGCATAGTAGCCCCTCCAGTGGTCAACTAGCGTAGCAGCCCCTCCAACACGCCCAGCCAGCACAACAGCCCTTTCTACGTGCCCAGCCAGCAGGTCCTCCTCGTCATTGCCCAAACAGTGGAACCTAGGTCCATATCGAACAACCCCCACGCATGGACAGTAACAACGTCCAACAGGGTCTTCACCTCCACCCCAGCGCCCATCGCCTCCCTCTTCTCTCTAGGGACCACACCAATTTCTTCGAGTTTTCCACCAAGATTTGCAAACCTCTGCACATCTTCTCCACCAGCCAAGATGTTCAACCAAATGCCCCATTCTCCAAGTTTCATTGGACATGGGGCTTTGGGGGACAAATGATGGGTCAAGCCCAAAGGCCTAACTCGTGCTACAAGCCTAGTCTTAATTAAGAGCCCAAACTTATACAGATCCAGTATCTAGTCCAAAGGGGGTCCACACCTGGGGGGGGGGGGGGGGGGGGGGGGGGGGGGGGGGGGGGGGGGGGGGGGGGGGGGGGGGGGGGGGGGGGGGGGGGGGGGGGGGGGGGGGGGGGGGGGGGGGGGGGGGGGGGGGGGGGGGGGGGGGGGGGGGGGGGGGGGGGGGGGGGGGGGGGGGGGGGGGGGGGGGGGGGGGGGGGGGGGGGGGGGGGGGGGGGGGGGGGGGGGGGGGGGGGGGGGGGGGGGGGGGGGGGGGGGGGGGGGGGGGGGGGGGGGGGGGGGGGGGGGGGGGGGGGGGGGGGGGGGGGGGGGGGGGGGGGGGGGGGGGGGGGGGGGGGGGGGGGGGGGGGGGGGGGGGGGGGGGGGGGGGGGGGGGGGGGGGGGGGGGGGGGGGGGGGGGGGGGGGGGGGGGGGGGGGGGGGGGGGGGGGGGGGGGGGGGGGGGGGGGGTGGGGGGGGGGGGGGGGGGGGGGGGGGGGGGGGGGGGGGGGGGGGGGGGGGGGGGGGGGGGGGGGGGGGGGGGGGGGGGGGGGGGGGGGGGGGGGGGGGGGGGGGGGGGGGGGGGGGGGGGGGGGGGGGGGGGGGGGGGGGGGGGGGGGGGGGGGGGGGGGGGGGGGGGGGGGGGGGGGGGGGGGGGGGGGGGGGGGGGGGGGGGGGGGGGGGGGGGGGGGGGGGGGGGGGGGGGGGGGGGGGGGGGGGGGGGGGGGGGGGGGGGGGGGGGGGGGGGGGGGGGGGGGGGGGGGGGGGGGGGGGGGGGGGGGGGGGGGGGGGGGGGGGGGGGGGGGGGGGGGGGGGGGGGGGGGGGGGGGGGGGGGGGGGGGGGGGGGGGGGGGGGGGGGGGGGGGGGGGGGGGGGGGGGGGGGGGGGGGGGGGGGGGGGGGGGGGGGGGGGGGGGGGGGGGGGGGGGGGGGGGGGGGGGGGGGGGGGGGGGGGGGGGGGGGGGGGGGGGGGGGGGGGGGGGGGGGGGGGGGGGGGGGGGGGGGGGGGGGGGGGGGGGGGGGGGGGGGGGGGGGGGGGGGGGGGGGGGGGGGGGGGGGGGGGGGGGGGGGGGGGGGGGGGGGGGGGGGGGGGGGGGGGGGGGGGGGGGGGGGGGGGGGGGGGGGGGGGGGGGGGGGGGGGGGGGGGGGGGGGGGGGGGGGGGGGGGGGGGGGGGGGGGGGGGGGGGGGGGGGGGGGGGGGGGGGGGGGGGGGGGGGGGGGGGGGGGGGGGGGGGGGGGGGGGGGGGGGGGGGGGGGGGGGGGGGGGGGGGGGGGGGGGGGGGGGGGGGGTGGGGGGGGGGGGGGGGGGGGGGGGGGGGGGGGGGGGGGGGGGGGGGGGGGGGGGGGGGGGGGGGGGGGGGGGGGGGGGGGGGGGGGGGGGGGGGGGGGGGGGGGGGGGGGGGGGGGGGGGGGGGGGGGGGGGGGGGGGGGGGGGGGGGGGGGGGGGGGGGGGGGGGGGGGGGGGGGGGGGGGGGGGGGGGGGGGGGGGGGGGGGGGGGGGGGGGGGGGGGGGGGGGGGGGGGGGGGGGGGGGGGGGGGGGGGGGGGGGGGGGGGGGGGGGGGGGGGGGGGGGGGGGGGGGGGGGGGGGGGGGGGGGGGGGGGGGGGGGGGGGGGGGGGGGGGGGGGGGGGGGGGGGGGGGGGGGGGGGGGGGGGGGGGGGGGGGGGGGGGGGGGGGGGGGGGGGGGGGGGGGGGGGGGGGGGGGGGGGGGGGGGGGGGGGGGGGGGGGGGGGGGGGGGGGGGGGGGGGGGGGGGGGGGGGGGGGGGGGGGGGGGGGGGGGGGGGGGGGGGGGGGGGGGGGGGGGGGGGGGGGGGGGGGGGGGGGGGGGGGGGGGGGGGGGGGGGGGGGGGGGGGGGGGGGGGGGGGGGGGGGGGGGGGGGGGGGGGGGGGGGGTGGGGGGGGGGGGGGGGGGGGGGGGGGGGGGGGGGGGGGGGGGGGGGGGGGGGGGGGGGGGGGGGGGGGGGGGGGGGGGGGGGGGGGGGGGGGGGGGGGGGGGGGGGGGGGGGGGGGGGGGGGGGGGGGGGGGGGGGGGGGGGGGGGGTGGGGGGGGGGGGGGGGGGGGGGGGGGGGGGGGGGGGGGGGGGGGGGGGGGGGGGGGGGGGGGGGGGGGGGGGGGGGGGGGGGGGGGGGGGGGGGGGGGGGGGGGGGGGGGGGGGGGGGGGGGGGGGGGGGGGGGGGGGGGGGGGGGGGGGGGGGGGGGGGGGGGGGGGGGGGGGGGGGGGGGGGGGGGGGGGGGGGGGGGGGGGGGGGGGGGGGGGGGGGGGGGGGGGGGGGGGGGGGGGGGGGGGGGGGGGGGGGGGGGGGGGGGGGGGGGGGGGGGGGGGGGGGGGGGGGGGGGGGGGGGGGGGGGGGGGGGGGGGGGGGGGGGGGGGGGGGGGGGGGGGGGGGGGGGGGGGGGGGGGGGGGGGGGGGGGGGGGGGGGGGGGGGGGGGGGGGGGGGGGGGGGGGGGGGGGGGGGGGGGGGGGGGGGGGGGGGGGGGGGGGGGGGGGGGGGGGGGGGGGGGGGGGGGGGGGGGGGGGGGGGGGGGGGGGGGGGGGGGGGGGGGGGGGGGGGGGGGGGGGGGGGGGGGGGGGGGGGGGGGGGGGGGGGGGGGGGGGGGGGGGGGGGGGGGGGGGGGGGGGGGGGGGGGGGGGGGGGGGGGGGGGGGGGGGGGGGGGGGGGGGGGGGGGGGGGGGGGGGGGGGGGGGGGGGGGGGGGGGGGGGGGGGGGGGGGGGGGGGGTGGGGGGGGGGGGGGGGGGGGGGGGGGGGGGGGGGGGGGGGGGGGGGGGGGGGGGGGGGGGGGGGGGGGGGGGGGGGGGGGGGGGGGGGGGGGGGGGGGGGGGGGGGGGGGGGGGGGGGGGGGGGGGGGGGGGGGGGGGGGGGGGGGGGGGGGGGGGGGGGGGGGGGGGGGGGGGGGGGGGGGGGGGGGGGGGGGGGGGGGGGGGGGGGGGGGGGGGGGGGGGGGGGGGGGGGGGGGGGGGGGGGGGGGGGGGGGGGGGGGGGGGGGGGGGGGGGGGGGGGGGGGGGGGGGGGGGGGGGGGGGGGGGGGGGGGGGGGGTGGGGGGGGGGGGGGGGGGGGGGGGGGGGGGGGGGGGGGGGGGGGGGGGGGGGGGGGGGGGGGGGGGGGGGGGGGGGGGGGGGGGGGGGGGGGGGGGGGGGGGGGGGGGGGGGGGGGGGGGGGGGGGGGGGGGGGGGGGGGGGGGGGGGGGGGGGGGGGGGGGTGGGGGGGGGGGGGGGGGGGGGGGGGTGGGGGGGGGGGGGGGGGGGGGGGGGGGGGGGGGGGGGGGGGGGGGGGGGGGTATAGTTGATCAATGGAACTGAAATGATGACAAATTCAAAGAGGCAAGTTTTTTAACTTAGTTTTTTTTTTTGGGTTTTAGGATTGTGAAAACTTACATTATAGTTATAAACGGGATTATCATTGTGGCCTGAGGTAGAAAATGAATGTGAAATAGTTGCCATTTTTGGAAAGTAAAGGACTTGAGTGGGGGGTTTTAATCTCTACCAACTACAGCTGCATTTTTGCAAAATTAGTAAAAACAAGAACTTATAATCGCATCCTAAGTCAAATTTCAGAAAATTGGTCGAAAATTAAGTACATGGGGATACTTATCCCTGAATTACGTAACTTGTATGACCTATCTTTGGTTATTTGACAGCAGGATTGGGAGAAATGATGAGGCATCTATTTCTTGTTCTTCTGTTGATCCATTTGAGTCTTGCACAGAAGGCCAAGGTTAAGCCACTGACGAAAAAATGGCTGACACTAAAGGGTAACTTATTATTCCCTTTCTCTGTCTTTTCGTTTCTCAAAAAACCAATTTTTAGTTCTGACTGTATGGCATTATTTTCTCTTCCTTTTGTTGTGAAGGCAAAAACAGAACAGTTGAGTTATATTCAAACTTTATTGCTCATGAGAAGGTTGCATCATATCTGTTGTGACAAACCAGTTTTGATCATATCCAGTTTCATATTTCACAATACAAAGTTTGAGATTGTACTTTTTGATTTCAATGTACCTGCAGGTGATGAACCTGTGGTAATAGCTCGTGGAGGGTACTCGGGCCTTTTTCCTGATTCCAGCGAATATGCGTATAGGGTCGCCAAGGATAACAGCTTGCCTGGTACCATTTTGTTCTGTGATTTACAGCTTACAAAAGATAGCGTTGGGATTTGCCAGACAGAACTGAGGCTGGACAATTCAACAACTATAAGAGATGTCTTTCCGAAAGGGCAGAAAACTTACAATGTAAATGGACAAGATATGAGCAGCTGGTTTGCCTTGGATTATACATCTGATCAACTATTCACAAATGTGACTTGTAAGTTTTATAACAATAAGACTTCTTTCCATTTTCCATTCTATTTTTTCTGCCAACCAATATCTTCTTTGGTTGCTTCCGATGGAGAAGGAATGAAAGAAACTCCAGATCTTGCGACAATATGTATCTGGAATCCTCACTGTACGATTTCATCTTCTCTTCTTTCCCTCCATTATTGCAACCAACTCAGAAATGGATAAGCATTTGAAAGTATATCAAAAACAGTTGTTATTAGCATTAACCATGTTGTGAGCTCTTAACAGTATCAAAAGCACTGCTGACATTACTGGAAAAAAAAGAAAAGAAAAGAAAAGAAAAGAGTGAGCAAAACACAATAATTATTACATCATTTTCTGATTTAATGAAAGGAGACTAATGGAATCATATCCTGTACCATGCTGACAAATGTGTCTTTGATTATATTTTTTGTGTCCTGTTCTTTCCCAACAGTGATACAAAACATATACTCTAGAACAAATGTGTTCGATGGTCTATTCTCCCTGTGGACCCCTGATAATGTGGTTGCAGCTTGGCCTTCTTCAAAAATTTGGTTGAATGTTCAGGTATTGCTCTCAAGTTCTCTCTTGCTTCCTTTCATATCAAATTTTCTTTCTGATAAGTAGTTTCTACTAAAGCAACGGTGATGCTGCTCCATTATTACCTGGAGTCATAGAATTGAGCCGCAGAAATAGCTTCTTCGCTAGGAAAGGCATCTGACCCTTCCCAAATCCCACAGCTGTGGGAGCATCGTGGATTGGGCTGCCTTCTTTCATTCATTTGAATGATTCTTATACTGCTTTGGTGCTCCTTCTTCTGTTCATTGCAGTATGGGATGTTCTACATCTATCATAAGCTCAGCCTGGCAAAATATGTTGAAGACTCTATGAAATTTATTAATCCGGAATACATTTCATCTCCTGAGATTGGTTTCTTGAAGACCATTGGTGGCAAACTGAAGAAATCCAAGAAAAAGCTCATCTTCCGGTGCCTAGAGGCAGATGCATTTGAACCCACAACCAAGGAGAAATATGGTTCACTCTTGGAAATCTTTCGATGATCAAGTCATTTGCTTCTGGTATTCTTGTCCCAAAAGAGTATATATGGCCTGTTACTAAGGACATGTATCTGCAACCTGCAACAACTCTTGTAGCCGATGCTCATAAACAAGGTCTTGAAGTATATGCTTCTGGCTTTGCAAATGATGGTATGCTAAGTTACAATTATAGTTATGATCCAACAGTCGAGTATCTGCAGTTTGTCGACAACTCCCAATTCTCAGTTGATGGGGTGCTTACAGATTTCCCTTCCACTGCATCAGAAGCCATCGGTGAGATTCACCCTCTTTCTCTACATGTGTTTATTTTTCACCAACATGCTTTGCAAAACAGGGAAAACGATATAATGAGAATACATTTAACAAAATAACAAGATACAAAAACCAAACACGTGAACTTTTTATGTAAGAAACTGAAAAAACAAGTCTCAATGACTCCTAGCCAAAAAAACAAGAATTTATGATGGCAAATGTATGCATGCCTTTTTATGTTCCAGGTTAAACCTCAGACTGTTTTCTCGATTGCAGCATGCTTAGCCCGGAACAAGAATGCTTCCAGGATTATGGATGGTAAGAAACTAATCGAGATTTCTTTCAAAAGTAAATAACTTTATGTCAGAACGCATAGGAAAAATATTCTATGAAAAATGAAAGTACAAGCTACATCACTCAATAATTCTGTGTTTCCATGAATAGCTTTGATCATATCTCACAATGGAGCTAGTGGGGATTACCCTGGCTGCACTGATCTTGCCTATCAGAAAGCCATAGACGATGGGGCCGACATAATTGATTGTTCTGTTCAAATGTCAAAAGATGGATTTGCCTTCTGCTTGGAGACAGCCGACCTTACGGGGAAAACTACTGCAGCAACTACTTTGATGGATCGAACTGCAACAGTCCCAGAAATTCAGCCAAACTGGGGGATTTTTCTCCTTTGATGTCACGTGGAGTGAAATCCAATCCCTCAAGCGTAATCTTCATCAAAAATACATTTTTTCCTTATTTTCTCAACATTTCTGATCCTTTACTGATCCCCATGAGTTGACCTTTCTCATTTCAGCACAAATTACAAGCCCTGACATTGACACTAGCTTGCAAAGAAACCCTGCAAACAGGAACAAGGGAAAGTTTGTCACTCTGTCTGAGTTCTTAGAAATTGCTAAGTCTAAGGGAATAACTGGAGTTCTGATTAACATTGAAGTAAGTTTATCTTATTCCGTGGACATTTAAGTCCTCTTTTAGCAACTTAAGTTCTCTTGAAATCATAAATTTCCATGAGCATCAATGAATGAAAGTATTTAACCATTTGATTGCATAGGTGCCTGAAGAATATAAGCATTTTATGCTTGCACTGTTAATTTTTTTTTCCCTTCATATGTCACAATTGAGCCCAAGCTCGAGTAAAGGATGAGGGTAACATTAGGTAGCTGACAGTTGGCATAAAATTTGTCACACACTCCCCCCCCCCCACCACCCACCCACCCAAGGCCATGAACAAAGTGTAACACCTGTTCTTCCTTTCCCAGAATGCTGCCTTCCTAGCATCAAAGAAAGGTCTTAGCATAACCGATGCTGTCACTACTGCCTTAAGCAATGACACCCTCGACAAAGTTTTGATCCAATCGGATGACAGTTCGGTGCTATCAAAGTTTAAGGATGCTTCAACTTACCAGAGAGTATTGACCATTAAAGAGCAAATAAGTGATGCACCAAAGCAGGTAGCGGAGGAAGTCAAGAAATATGCTGATGCAGTGAGTGTCACTAGAAATTCCATTGTTAGAGATAATTCAGTCTTCTTTTCGACTGATTTCACAAATATTACACAAGAAATGCATGCAGCAAATGTCTTGGTATATGTCGCATTTCTCAGGAATGAATTTACCTCGCTCATCTTTGATTACAATGCGGATCCTTACACACAGCTTGCTACTTTTGTTGTGGCAAACAAAGTTGATGGGTCATTACGGACAATCCAGCAACTACCAATGCATATATGAGTAAGTATTACTACCCTCTTTACTCTTTTGTAGCGTTTATTCTGATCACCAAAATCATGACATATTCAACTATGATTCCTCTAACAGAAAAATGCATATTTCTCATTATGTTTCCCAGTTAAAAAAAAACATTTATTTAACACGAGAAACATAAGGACTTGTGAGGATCGGGTGGAATAGGATAATTGATGATTATTTTTTAGATTATTATTTATTTAGATATTATTCTATTTTAGGGTAATTTTTTTGATCTCTTACTTCCCTTTTCATGCCCGTTTTTTCTCATCTCATCTCCATGTCTCTTCTTCTTACGGTACATCAATTGGT